TTGCATTAGACACAACCTCTTGTTGTAAGCGATACGTGGGGATTCTGACGAGTGATTTAGATTGCGTGCATTTGATCCATAGATTTCTTAGTACATGATGGGTAGAATGAAATACAACTCCTGATGAGCTTTCTCATGTCTTAAGAATGTATTTATTTTCTTGTCTTAGGTTTTTCCCTTTTCATTTTGTTCACTCTAAAACCATTTAAATCCAAGCTTAGAGACGTAAAGACTGTCGAATGACATTCTTTCCCTTGCACCGATCTATGTGGAGACAACATAAATTCCAGAGGGAATTCTCCCGAAAATAATTTTTGTTTTCTGCTTTACCGCATCAACAAAATGGTTTCGTTGCCAGGGATCAATGTTTTGATATTGATTTGCATTACGATAGTTTCTATGTTTTGGTAGCTTTGTACATACTTGTCTATAGTTGTTTTCCATAAGTAATTGTATATATATGTTGTCCGTCATGTTTGTGTATGTGTGTGTATACATATTTTTGTTTTTGGTTTACATTTACTCAAGTGTTGCAGGTTTTATTGGGTAGCTACCAGTGAACAAAGCAACATGGCGAAACATGTGCATAAATAAATGCGTCGAGTTAGCAACGTGAATCAAACGATTGTTACAAGGCAACCCAACGATTTTTGAGATTTTATAGCTCTATGTTTATTTAGTTTAATTTGATTTTGTTAGGTCGTTAGAAAATTATTGTGTTTTCTTTCAAGCTTTGTTTTTTATTAGCTTGAGGATGCATGTTATGATTGTTCATGTTTGATTTTTTCAACAAGAAAATGTTATGGTACAGTGAAAAGTTTAAAGAGAGTTGCATTGCTAATGTTTGTGCTTATTGCTTTTCTAGAATATAACATGTGTATGAACCTTGGGCTTTGTACAACTTACATGACATATATTTTTTTGCAATTTTTGTTCAATTTTGAATCACTTTAGTTCATAGCCCAATGTGAGGAACCTTTCCATTTTTTTATACTAAATTGCATGGAGACCAAATTTCTTATTTAACTCGTTTGAATTATATTTAAAATTTTATTTGTGTTAATTTGCATGATAATACTAAAATGGTCAAGATATTTTGTTTGATTTTGAGCATAACCACTTGACAAAATAGTGAATCTACCTTGTGAGTGAGTGAGTATTTGCTTACCCCCTTTGAGCATTTGTTAGAATCCATGTTGGTGTTAAGTTCATTTTTGTATGGATTCTAATATTTTTCTTGAACCATGACCATAACTTGTTATTTGAGTTTTTACCCTTGCCTAATAAGTTTGGGAGCATTTATATCACTATGTGTGGTTGTATTAAGTTGGGGAGAAAATGTTGGTTACTAAGAGGTTGAGAAGAATAAAAAGTGAAAAAGAAAAGAAAAGAAAAAAAGGAAAAGTATTAGAAAAAAGAGGAAAAAACAGAATAATGTTTGCTAATAAGTTGTATGGTATGATGTAACAATTTGGAAAAGAGAAAAAAGTGATTGGAATTTGTGAGTGCTTAAGATTGTGAGAAATGATCACTCTCATTTGATTAGACAAGTTTTTGTTTCTTTTACCTTAAGAAAAACAATTGTTTGTTACTTAAGCCACATTACAACCCTTAAAGTCCTTGTGATTTTTGCTTTTATACTTTTAATATGAGTTTTTTTAGATGAATGCATAATTTGAATTATTGTTAGCAAAACTTTTGTGTGTGAGTTTGTCCCTCATATTTGTTTTTTTCATCCGTTGATGAAGTTGTGTGTTAGGTGTGATTCATTCTTGAACATATGTATTGCTTTAGAAGTTTCGACATGTGTTTTGTTCTTAGACTTTGTTTCATATTCACGTTGTTGTTGTAATAGTGGTAAGCATTGCTTTGCATATACTTTTGATAGTTGTACCATACGTCTGTTTCCGTTTGTAAAAACTTGTTGAGCATGATTTTGTGATAATTACTTTTGTTTCTTTGAGTTGATTGATTCTTGTTTGAGGACAAACAAGTTTAAGTTGGAGAGAGTTTGATAAATGCTAAGTTGTAGTAAATTCTAGTGTGAATAATTAGCACTTGTTGAATTGTTTCAATTGATTTTCATTCGTAAACCTCAACTTTTGTGTATGTTTTAAGTAATTTATGTTATAGTGTAAAATATGCGTAATCGTGTACATATCTTGAGTTTGATTATCTTTATATCATTTTTATAGGTATTCAAGCAATGAGATATTTTCATTGTCTTGTAGAGCATTTAGTAAGATTTATGGCGCTTCTGACCGTGCTTAAATCGAAGTTACGAGGCTAAAGTTTTGGTGGAAGCAAGTAACAGTTTTCTCCATATTGTCATGTTCGCAGTGCAAACACAAAGCAAAGTGAAGGCGAAGCTATTGACTATTTTGGCAGTAGCAATTGTGGTCAGTGATCACAGTGCAAGGCCAAGGCGAGAAAGTTCACAGTGCGAGAAAATTGAGTTCACAATGTGAACTTGACAGATTTAGTTTTGTATATATAGAGTTCTTCTTAGATATTTTAGATATCTTTTGGGGCTTTTTACACTCAATTGATCATAAAACATTCTTTAGTGGAGTTAGCTTAGAAACAACACATGGAAGATGCATATTGACAATCTAGACTCGAATCTACTTTAATTGGAGTTGACAAACCGTGAGATGTTTGTTCTTCTTCCTTCTTCTCTATGTATTTTTCATTTGTTGGGGTTGTTGTATGTAATTTTACTTTGATTGTATGTGTACTTATGGATCTTTATATAAAATCTCCTTTATAACTTTTAATCGATGTATATGTCTATATGGATCTTTGGATGAAAACTACACAGAATAAGGAAATTCCTCTTTCTTGCTCTATCATGGTTTGGAAATTGATACACAAGAAAATCCCAACTTATGAAAACCTCAATAACAGAGGTTGCTATATGCCATAAATGTGAAACCTTTGTAACAAGGATGAAGAAACTTCTATCCACCTTTTCTTCAAATGTCACGTTGCAATAAAATTATGGACTTGGTTGCAATCAATCATGAATTATAAAACTGATCTCACATCAGTTGTCTCCATTTTCAAAACCTTTAATTATGGTCGGAGTCCTCAATGTTCTCTTGTTACATCTTCGGTCATCTCATTATTAACAATATATGTATATAGGAATCTAATTTGATTTTAAAAGCCACCCTTCAACTTTCACAAAGCTTTGACCAATATCATTACTTCTACATCTTGCTCATGTAATATATCAAAGCTTTGCTCATGCCATTCAATGGATGACTTTAGGATTTTCAAAAGCTTTAAGGTTGATATACATCCTCGCAAAGTTCACAAAATCATTGAGATTATTTGGCATCCTCATTCTTTTAACTAGATCAAGTGCAACACAAATGAGGTTGCACTTAGTTGTCCTAGTCCATTATCTTTTGCATGTATCTTCAAGAACAATGAATGAGATTCTATTGTCTGCTTTGCTTCTCATGTTAGAACTCAAAATGTCTTCTATGCAGAGTCATGGACATTATTCTTGCTACAAGATAGGCTAATGATAGACATTGAAATTTTGTATGAATATAAACAAGTTCCATGCTTGCTACATTGGTCTGCAAGTCACCCAATCTTGTCCATTGAAAAATTCAAAGTAAATGGTATAATTGTATGATCTTAGCTAAACACATATACTATATTTTCAGTGAAAAATCATTTTGTTAACAAGCTTGCTTTCATAGACTTGTCAATCCATGATCTCCAACGATGGAACAATGCTCCTTTAAAAATTAGGCATGGTCTTCTTAGAAACAAGTTAGACAGGTCATCAATTTTTAATGTAAATACATGAGAAATGGGACAACATACATTTGAAAAATTTTAAAGGTAAAATTTATAAGTTAAAGTTATCAGAAAAATAGAAATGTCATCATTTTTCAATGTAAAAATTTTAAGATCGAGATTAAAACTATTTAAATTTAAAATATAAAGATTAATATTTTGAATGAGTTAAATAAGAAAAATAAAACCGTAATTAAGTCTATTTAAAAAACTATGTCTTATATATATATATATATATATATATATATATATATATATATATATATATATATATATATATATATATATATATATATATATATATATATATATTGTAATAGTAATAATAATAAGTACCATGAAATAAATATTAAAAAATAAATTATCATACAATAAAATTTTATTGAAAGAGTATTGATTTTTTTTGAAATAATAACTATTAAAAATTCATATAGACAACAATTATAAAATCTCGTATTATAGGAATATAATATCATGATTTTGGATATTTTCTTTCATTCTTCTCTTTACGTTGTATGTATCTCCTTGTTAACTTCATTCTTTCTCTTAATCCTATTATCCTTTTCTTATTTTTTTAATGAAGAAATAGAATGATATAAAGAGAGATAGAGAATAAAACGAGAGAAGATAGAGAAAATTGAGAGTATCCATTTCAGACTTCCAGTTAATATAATCATATAGAATTAGACTTAGTTAAATGAAAAATATTTGTTACATTAATACATATACATGAGGTGGGACCTCACAAATTTATGATGCAATAAACCACATTTATCAATTAAAATAACATATAAAATAATAATAAATTCGAAGTACATATTAACAAAATATTCATAGCACACATTAAAATAAATAAATAATCAAAACTAATAAATCAAATTTTATTATTGTTTAGGACTGATTTTGTGATATTTTAGGTAAGAATGTTTTAGGATTAAAATAAAGAATATTTACATTTTATAAAAAAAAAGAGTGGAATTTATTAAGAGGGAAAAGATGATTGATTAGTATTGGCGTTGAATGTGTGTTGTCATTGTTTAACATCATTGTGAACAGCGTTACGGTTCTGGTCCGTCCGAGCAAGCAAGGGTGTAAGTAAGCGAGAGAGAAATAACCTTTGCATCTCAATTCCCAAATTTCCAAATCAAAAATCAAATCGTTCTTAATCAGACTGTAACAAAAGGATGTCGGAGATTGCCAGCACAGATCCCGAAGGCGTCGACGGAGTTCGCATGACCTGGAACGTTTGGCCACGAAGCAAAGTTGAAGCCAGCAAGTGCGTCATCCCTCTCGCCGCCACAATCGCCGTGATCCGCCCTCATCCTGACATTCCCCAACTCCCTTACGCTCCTCTCCGCTGCAAAACCTGCACCTCCGCCCTCAACCCTTTCTCCCGCGTCGACTTCACCGCCAAGATCTGGATCTGTCCGTTCTGTTACCAACGGAACCATTTTCCTCCTCATTATAACGCTATCTCGGAAACCAATCTCCCTGGGGAACTTTACCCGCAATACACAACCGTTGAATACACAATTCCTCATTCCGATCCTAACCCTCCCCCTTCCCCTGTTTTTCTCTTTCTCCTTGATACTTGTATCATTGAAGAAGAGATCAGTTATCTCAAATCGGCTCTTGGTCGTGCGATCGGGCTTTTACCTGATAATGCTCTTGTCGGTTTTGTTTCGTTTGGGACTCAGGTTCAGGTGTATGAATTGGGATTCTCCGATATGTCTAAGGTTTATGTCTTTCGTGGCTCCAAAGAGATTCCTAAGGATCAGATTTTGGAACAGCTTGGTCTTGCTTCTTCTGCTGCTTCCGGTAGGAGACCAATGAAGGGTGCTCCTTTCCCTAATTCTGGTGTTTCCCGTTTTTTGTTGCCTGCATCCGATTGTGAATACACTCTCAATGCGGTAATGCCAATGATAATGCTTATTTCATTGTCTCTTTTACTGCTATGATGAATTGTGATGATTCCATTTTTTATTCTTGTGTTTGTTTTTTCAGCTGTTGGAAGAATTGCAGAGAGATCAGTGGCCTGTTCCTCCTGGCAAACGTCCCGCTCGCTGCACCGGTGTAGCATTGAGTGTTGCAACTGGATTGCTTAGTGCTTGTGTTCCTGGGACGGGAGCTAGAATCATAACTTTGGTTGGGGGACCATGCACGGAAGGACCCGGCACGGTATATATCGTTATTCTGTTGGTGTATTTTTTATTAATTGGTTGTTTTTATGACATCGTTTTTGTTTTGGGTGGAAAGAAAACTAGCTAGTGTTTGGAAAATGGTGTTCATCATTAATCAAGCTGCATCATTAGGAGTGGAGTGATTTGTTAGGTGTTTGGTATCCAAGTTTCATGGTCGCAGTGTTAGATACTGCACTTGTAATCAGATTATTGTTAGGAGTGGAATGATTGTTTTTATTGGCAATCACTGAATAATCCATAGATCGAATATGTCTGATGCTGGGATTTTGATTTCAAAATTTCTTTGCAGATTGTGTCTAAAGATCTATCTGACCCAGTGCGTTCTCATAAAGATCTTGATAAAGATGCAGCACCTTACTTTAAGAAAGCAGTCAAATTTTATGAGGGTCTTGCAAAACAGCTGGTTAGCCAAGGTCATGTTTTAGATGTCTTTGCATCAGCACTTGATCAGGTTTGTGTGACTTTAATAATTTTCTCATACTTTTGTAATTATTTCTCTTGTTAGTTGGCTATGGATTGCATGTGTGCAGATCATACATAGTACTCAGTAAGATTTCTGAAGCATGTAGTGTTTGTTTTTCTTATCATCAAATACAATATTACCATGCAGCTCAAATTTTCCCAATTCCACATTAGAAGGTATCTAATTCAGCATTTCTGCTGAGTGGTTAAACAGTTTCCATCCTTCAGGTTTTTTGAAAATGTTTTTTTAAACACTTTTGCGTACTTATATAAGCTTTGAAATGAAACAAGTTATTCTTTTTTGTTTTTTGTAATAGATATTCCAAATGTCTAAATTCTTTTTAATATATACTTTAAGTTGAAGAGCACTTTTTAATTTCATAAGTGTACCTTATATTATATCCTTTTTTCTGTGATACATCTAGAACCATGTTACTCATAACATTCCTTACGAGAAAGTTTTTGGGCTTACTTAAGTATAGATTCTGAACTTACTTTTGGATCTTCCTATCTGGCAACACATGGCTACAAGCCCGGTTAGTCTATATAATCCAATGTGGTTAATACATCCATCTGGGTGTTCGTATTGACGGCATTGGGTTTACCAATTCATTTATCTTCTTGAGAGTGAAGCTGGTAATATTTTAAATTTCAATCTTGAATTCCTACTGTGAATTGCATGGAAGTTTTTGTTTATGTTGTGCAGTAGAAATTCATGAAAATTGTTTGTTTGTATATTGTCAAAATGTTACATTAAATTTAAAAAACAGTTAGGAGCTAATTGTGCTCATTTTATGTCTTTTGCTGATCTTTGTTTTAATTTAAGGTTGGAGTTGCAGAAATGAAAGTTGCAGTTGAAAGAACTGGTGGCCTTGTTGTCCTGTCGGAAAGTTTTGGTCATTCAGTCTTCAAGGACTCTTTCAAGCGTGTTTTCGAGGACGGGGAGCAATCTCTTGGTCTTTGTTTCAAGTGAGTCATTTTAAGCGTTCTAATGATATTTTGTTATTATTTATACAGTTAGATTTATCTGTCCTCTTTAATGTCCCCTCGGCTATTGTTATTTCTTTCTTATTTTTTCAGTAATACTTGTTGGGTGCTGAAGATAATTGGTGCCAAGTGATGTGCCAACATAGTTGGGTTGTCTCTTGGCCTAATGATACTCTTTTTTTTTTTTTACCAAGATGCTTTTGCACAACAACTTTTGTTCAAAATAAATTCTGCCCCCTTGTCTCTTTTTCTGGTCACATATATTTCCATATCTTTTATCAGACATGATTCAAGCTAATTTTGTTTATGTTCCAGTGGAACTCTTGAGATAAATTGCTCAAAGGAAATCAAAATTCAGGGAATCGTTGGACCATGCACATCGATGGAGAAGGTTAGATGATTTGATTTATGTTTCAAACTCTTCATTTTTTGTTGCTTATTGATTCTGGAATCAGTGATTGTGTTCGGTCAAAGAACTAATCATAGCATTATATTTCTGGATCTTGATTGTTACTATCTAATATTGCAGAAAGGGCCTTCTGTTGCTGATACTGTCATAGGAGAGGGGAACACAACAATATGGAAGATGTGTGGCCTTGACAAGAGTACATGCTTGACTGTGTTGTTTGATCTTTCATCAAGTGATCGTTCAAATACTCCAGGCGCTGTCAACCCACAACTGTACCTGCAGTTCCTTACAAGGTTATGTTTGGAAAATTTCATCATTAGGATCTTAATATGGTTGTGTGTCTTTCCAACATCTCCTTGGGTCTTGAGCATTAATAATGGTCATGGTCTTCTTGCAGTTACCAGGGCCCAGATGGTCAATTAGTGCTTCGTGTAACAACAGTAACTAGAAGATGGGTGGATAGTGCTGTTAGCTCTGAGGTAGTTCCAGTCTTTTTTATGTCTGTGGCTATGGATGGCAGTTCGTTTCTCAATGTCATAGAAATATTTGGAAAACCTAAATTAAAATGCTGTAAAGAAGCATGAAAATTTTACTCTTCATGCTGTTAAGTATGATTTTCAAGTTATGTCATATGCAGATACCTAATCTAAATGCATTTGCATTTATGTGTATTTATTGTATATATCAATGAAGTTAACAGAGACATTTGCAGATACCTAATCTGTAGACAATTATTTATTTACATTGAGATTCTTAAATTGATTAATCGCGTGATTTTTAATTACTTGCATTATTTTGTTATTCAGGAATTGGTCCAAGGATTTGACCAAGAAACTGCTGCAGTGGTAATGGCTAGATATGCTTCTCTGAAAATGGAGACAGAGGTATGAGATAAATTGTATATTTAGATTTGTTAGGATATAGAATAGTGGTTAATTAGAGTAGTTAAAGTAGTTATGAGTTGTTGTACAAGTTTGTTAGTTAGTTGAGGTTGTTATATGGCTATTTGTATAAATAGGAGAATACAATGTAGTGTGGATCACCTTTGAATTTTGTAATTGTGAATAGGGTATAGTCTATATATCCTTGAGCAAAAGTTCTCTCCCATTCTCGCCTAATTCTTAATAAAAGTGTTCTTTTTTTTTGGAATCCAATTCTTGATTTCCTAACAAGATTATTATTAGATTTTATTTTCTTAGCTGCGTAGAATTGGGCAAATAGCTAGTGGGGAGTTTCAGTAAAACATGAAATTGGGCGAGAAGCTAGTGGGGAGTTTCAGTAAAACATGAAATTGGGTAAATAGCTTTGATATTGATGGTGTTGATGAAAATTGCGCTTTTTCAATCATTTTGCTAATGATATGCTACAAATAACTGTTTTATCTAGTGTGAAATTCAAGTTGTATATGTTGGGTGTTTATTAGCTGTGTCAATTTTAAACCGACTTGTATAAACAAATGCCTTGCTGAGCATTAATTTTGTTTGATCAGGAAACATTTGATGCCACACGGTGGTTGGATAGGTTCCTCATTCGCCTCTGTTCTAAGTTTGGGGACTACCGCAAGGATGATCCATCATCTTTTACATTAAATCCATCATTTTCTCTTTTTCCCCAGTTTATGTTCAATCTGCGGCGCTCACAGTTTGTACAGGTACTTTTTATTGTTATTTTCTTCCTGCTTTGCAGTCCTGCTTGTTAGCTAATGATGAAATCTATTGACAGGTTTTTAACAACAGTCCAGATGAGACTGCATACTTTCGCATGTTGTTAAACCGGGAAAATATTAGTAATGCGGCTGTCATGATTCAGCCATCTCTAATATCATATTCATTTAATTCACTGCCTGCACCAGCTCTGTTGGACGTAGCTTCCATTGCTGCAGACCGGATTCTGTTGCTAGATTCATACTTTAGCGTGGTTATTTTTCATGGGATGACAATAGCTCAATGGCGTAACTTGGGATACCAGAACCAACCAGAACACCAGGTTTGTGTACAGTCATGTCCTGCTAAAGAAATTGTTATTACCTAATAATTCTGCTCACAAATTATCTTTAGATTTTACGGTTTGATCTTGTAAGCATTTGTTACTTTCTGTTAGTTTTTTATAGAAGTAATTTTACTTGGAGGCATTTTCATAGTTGGTGTCAAGTGTCACACATTTACCATTATTCCCTTTTTCTCTATGCTGCTAACTTTAATTTATGGTACAGGCTTTTGCCCAACTATTACAAGCTCCACAAGATGATGCCCATGCAGTAATTAGAGATCGGTTCCCTGTTCCTAGATTGGTAGTGTGTGATCAACATGGTTCCCAGGTTGGTATTGTTTAGCAATCTCAAATCTGAAAGCTATTTCTCTAATTTTTTCTTACCCAAATTAATTCAAACCAGGAGCAATACTGCCGAGCATTATACGCTTGTGTTGATTCTGAGTCAAGTTTTTTCATACTAGGAAACTTACAGAGGGTTTCATTGGTGTCTTTTACAGGCTAGATTTTTATTGGCAAAGCTGAATCCATCAGCAACATATAATAATGCGCACGAGATGGCTGCTGGTTCAGATGTAATCTTTACTGATGATGTCAGCCTTCAAGTTTTCTTTGAGCATCTGCAAAGGCTAGCTGTCCAATCTTGAGGGCAGGTAATAGGAGAGACTAACAGTTTATGGATTCTAGACTTTGGTTTGGGGAAATTCACCAATGATGTGTATCATGCATTATGCTGTTGCATTCAGTTATTTTTCCTTTCTTTCCTTTCTTCTTATTAAAGAGAAGACCAGAGCCTGCATGTATCGAAGAAATAAGGGAAGCAAGACCTGAAACATGATTCTTTATGGTTCTGGTCGAATTTTGTTTTATGGACAAAATAAATGATTCGAAAGTAAGTTGAGTTTGTGGATTACGGAAAGAAAGGATACGAATTTAAAGTTAAGAGCTGCCTGATCTGCGACAGCAGCATGGCAAATGAGGGACATATTTTTGTTTCATATTTTTCCTATTTGTTTTGGCCCAGATATTTAGTTTTTGGGTTCCTCATTAGTGGTTTTACTTTTACATGCTCCCTAGATTTGCCAAGTCATTTTGTCATGTTGGAATTTGATCAGTTATTCTCTCTTTACACTGTCTTGTACTATATATTGTGAAGTAAGCATACAGGACTCGTCATCATGGTGAGATGAACATAGCTGTTTGGTCGCTGTTTTTGTTCATTACTTCCAAGTTTGCATAAAATTTCTAAGGGTTAAAATGCAATATTGGTTTGTGTTTTAAAGATGCGTGGTTGAGTAAAATTATTATACTTTTTCAATTCAGCAACTTTGATTCCAAGCTTAATACTTCACCTAAAAAATCATTATACTTTTTCAATTCAGAAACTTTGAATCCAAGCTTAATACTTCACCTAAAAAATGCGCTTGCTGCCTTTTAATTTAGGTCACAACTATAATTTGGGAAATATCATTAAATTAAAGTTTCATTAAAATAGGAAACATTACGACTGATATTAATCTTTTGTTTTGTAGAAAAAACTAAAATGTTTCTGTTCATGGAAGTAAACTCAATAACATCAACATCTTTCTCTTTTACTCCAATGCTTTCGCTCCAAACTTCTAAACCTTTTGCCATGAATTTGCATGTCTTTTAAAACCAAAACGAAAAATCCAATCTTCTTGATTCCAGACTCGCTACAACTCCATTGTTCATCCTAGGTATTAGTTCAAGTATAAATGCATGTATTTTTCTCATCATCAATGAAGCAATTCAATTCTTAACTAGGAAAGTATTGAATTTTTTAACTAAGTTCATGGTCTATAATCATTGAAGCATAATGTAAAGAGTGAAATGATATATTGAAGCATAATGTAAAGAGTAACATGGTATACATGAACAATTCTAAATTGAATCGAAAAGAGTGAATTTGGTGTAAAATGGTATACATGAGCAATTCTAAACTGAATTGAAAAGAGTGAATTTGGTGTTTTCTTCTTCGAAACATTTCTTTTGGGTTTCTTTAGGATTTTTCGTGTGGGGTGTAATGAAGAGATTGTGAGAAAGGATTTGAAGTGGGTGAATTAAAGTCTCTGACTTAATTTTTCAGTGTTCTGAAACTGATTTTTCGCTAAGCAAAATTCATCAGGCTAAGCGAGAAATCGTAATTTTAAAATTTTTTAAAATATGGTTTCTTGGCTAGTTGAGTAGAGTTTGTCTAAGTGAGAATTGGATTAGTGATTCTGCATTGGACGTGCTAAGCCAGCATTGACACATGCCAAGATGCGCTTAGTGAGATTCCTTGCATTCTTTGTTACACACTGCTTTCAAAATTGCGATTTTTGAGAAAATTTAAAAGATTATCTAAAAAGAGTGTAAAATCGTTTGGGTTTCTTCTCAACAAGTGATTGTTTAACGTCAACAATTTAAGGGTTTTTAGTGTTACATAATACCAATCACCTTAAAACATATCTCACGATCTTTCATTCTGACCTTCATTCGATTTGATTTGTGTCAATGTCCACCAACATTCTTGCGGATTTCATGAATGGTTTTAGTAGAATGAGAGACATCTTTGGACCTGCCTCGATATTTAGTACCATAAAATCTACGAGAAACAAAAACTAGTCAATTTTAATTAGAGAATCTTGAATATTTTCACTGACTTTATGCATATTTTGTCAGCCATCTGGAGTGGTGTCACAATTGACTATATTTGGGGGGCATCGAATTTCTTTATACTAACATAAATAACATATTTAATCACAAAGCTTTCACCTCAGTTAATCTATATTTGAAGTATAATCCCTAGACGTGCCATATTTTAAAAAATTTAAAACACAAATACCATTTATTCTTCCGGTAGTGAGAAGCAACCAATATGAAATGTGACAGCGGGACCAAGTCTCAAAATCTACTTTTTGTATTTTTACTTTCTTTTTTATTCGGTGCCTTTCTTATTATTTTATTTATTTATAATTTCTCTATTTTTTCTATTGAGATTTCCAATAGAGAGAAAATGTGTCTCATAGATCAAGCCTCAAATTTTTTTTTCTTTTCATTTTTACTTTTTCTTTTCAATTGAAACTTTTCATATTTTTTATTTATAATTTATTTATTTCCTTGGCTGGGACTTCCAACCAAGAAGAAATATCAATTGTCTATTTTGTATGACGTGCCATATTTGAGGTATAAATAACATATTTAGTATAGAGAGAATTTTTTTATACTAACATAAATAATATATTTAATGACAAAGCTTTCACCTCAGTTAATTTATATTTGAGGTATAATCCCTAGACGTGCCATATTTTAAAAATTTTAAAACACAAATACCATTTATTCTTTCGGTAGTGAGAAGCAACCAATATGAAATGTGACAGCGGGACCAAATCTCAAAATCTACTTTTTGTATTTTTACTTTCTTTTTTATTCGGTGCCTTTCTTATTATTTTATTTATTTATAATTTATCTATTTTTTCGATTGAGATTTCCAATAGAGAGAAAATGTGTCTCAGAGATCAAGCCTCAAAATCTATTTTTTTTTCATTTTTACTTTTTCTTTTCAATTGAAACTTTTCATATTTTTTATTTATAATTTATTTATTTCCTTGGCTGGGACTTCCAACTAAGAAGAAATATCAATTGTCTATTTTGTATGACGTTTTTCTTTTATAAAAAGTTTTATCTATTCTCTCGATTGCATTGTCCAATCGAGAGGAAATCTCGTTTGGATGTATTTTTCTGAAATAGACTCTAACTTGTTATATACTTTTTAACACTTAGTTCATCTTCATTCACCTAAGAAACTGGTTGGTCTCTTAAAAAAATGCACTCTAGGTTATTTTCATCTTCTCTTCTCCATCTAAATGCCATAACATCTAAATTTAGATTCCATCATCGTTTTCAAAATATTATCTCTTTCGACACATGTACGTGCTCGAACATCAACTCATCCAACACATGTACATTTCCTCCCTTCAAACGCAATTAAAGCCATTTAAGAACTAACAAATTTTGAAACGAAGAAAAGACAACCAAACTCGAACGAATCTTCCTCTACCATTATCATACCTTCTTCATCATGTTTTTGGCACGTAACTCACTTTATCCATGCACATAATTTAGAAATGTTAGTTTTATTGTTGTGGATTGCTTATTACTTATAGATTATGTTGAGCAAAATTAATTTTCTGTTACTATTTATGTTATTTTGATTATGTTGATAAAAATAGAAATAAAATTTTCCTTTTTAGTGTTGATGTTGACAAAAGTCCATATCTACCACGAGTTAAGTAAAGTCCATATGTACCATGCCTTAAGTAAAATAGGTTTTACTTTATAGTTTTGGTTTTTTATTTATAATTATAATATATATTATTATATTATAGTTTTGATTTTGTTGATGTTGTGTTAAATAAAATATTTATGATGCTATTTTTATAAAGTGCTTTTAAGAGGTGTTGATGTTTTTAGAAAATGTTTATGAAGCTACTCTTAAGTAAAATATATCATATGTAAAATAAATCTTACATTAGGTGTTTTCGTTGAGGTTATTCTTAGGAAGTTCTATTAGATTTCTTTGTTGATGTTGTGTTAAGTAAAATGATTATGAGGCTATACTTATGAAGTGCTCTTAGGAAGTATTGATGTTATGTTAAGTAAAATGTACCATATGTATCATGAATCTTACATTAGATTCCTTTGTTGATTTGTGTAAAGTAAAATGTTTGTTATCGTTGTTGTTGTTGTTGTTTAAATAGAGATGGTCGATTTAACCACCACCTCTCATATAGATAAGAGTTCCACTACTAAGACTAAAAGCATAAAAAATTTATAGGCTCCACAATGATGGCCAAGTTGACAAAAGTCTGCAATACAAGTGTTAGGATGTCGACCAATTTTTGTTTAAAAAGTTTTTTTGGTAAGCAAACTTATATTAATCGGAGTACTAGAGGTACTCCAACCCATCAAACAAATTACAACCGATTTACATTCCCAACAAATAAAATTTAAACCCTATAAAAAATCAATTGGACTTTTGTACCATTCATAGTAATTACATCTAATAGGCCTAGGGGCCGCAAGTTGCATCCATCTCCACGAAAGCCACACGATTCTATGAAAAATATCTACATGATTTCCAATTTCATCATTGAACAATATTTGGTTCCTATCCCCCCATATGCACCAACACGTTACAAACTAAATTAAACAAACGAATGAATGACGACACCTACCAACCAACCTTAGCAACCACATCATAACATGATCACAACACCCAACCCCTTCTATATAAGGTATACATAGCCATTCTTCTACCTTCTTCCACACCAGCTTGACTTTAGGACACACAAAAAACACATGATCCCTCTCTTCGTCGACCGAAAAGTAGAAAACACAAGCCATTTCATGGATGTAGCTTATGAACCCTCTGTGCACCAAATTCATCAGGGTAGGTAACCTATTAAGTAACAAACGCCAACCAAACAATTTTATTTTCAATGGTATGCAAGTGTTCCATGTGAATTTCAAGGCCAGCTGTAGCTCCGGTTGCATCAAAGGCTGGGCAACATCTAGTAACAAATATCTATAGCAGCTTTTGACAATATAATACTTATCTGAATCCATCCCAAACATATGAATCCTT